GAAAGTTGGACAATGACTAGGGAGGATAGAAGGAGAATTGATGCCTTTGAGCTGTGGTGCTGGAGAAGAGTATTGAGGGTACCATGGACTGCAAGGAAAACAAACAGATTTGTCCTGGAAAGGGTTAAACCGGGTGGCCCCTTGGAGGCAAGGATTCTGAGGCTTCATCTGACATACTTTGGACATGTTATAAGGAGGGAGAGGTCCTTGGAGAGGGACATCATGCTTGGGAGGGTGGAGGGACAGCCCAGGAGGGGAAGGCCCTCTATGAGGTGGATTGATTTTCAGTGACTGGGGTAATCAGGATGGGTGTGTCAGAGACAGTGAGATTGGCACAGGACAGAGCAGGGCTTAGGGCTGTTGTACATAGGGTCGCTGTGAGTCGCAAGCAACTCTACGGCACATAACAACAACAACTCTCATATGCATAGCAAGTGATTGAAAAAAAATTATGGCTTGGATCAGGAGCACCTTAGTCTTTAAGCTAACATCCTTGCTCTTCAGCACTTACAGCACTTCTTTTTTTATTATTTTATTTTATTACTTTATGTGCGTGTACCATAAAATTGGATCTGACTGGTACAGGAGGAGATTTTCCCTCCTTCTCCAGCAGAGCATCTGGTGGATTCGAACCGCAACATTGCTTTTGAACTTCTGCCTGCTAGTGCCAAGGTCGTTGATTGTGGATCCCAAGAAGATGGAATCACTGACGATTTCTATCATTTGTAGCCATGTTTAGGGGGGAAAAAAAGGTGAAAATGAACATCTGATGTCCCTTTCAATAATTTATTTTATCCAACTGATCCAAAAGATTGTAATTTCTACCTGTAATTATCCAAAAGTGAATGAGATATTTTACGTTCTTTTTTTTTTTTTTTACTCCTCCTAACTAAGTTGTCTCACAGACTTTGGGCGTGGTATCGGAAGGGGCCCTGGCAGGTGGCAACCAGGCTTGGAAGAGTAGAGGGTCAGTCAAGGACAGGAAGCCCCTCAGTGACGTGGACTGACCCGGGGACCACAACAATGGGAGCTTAAACACAACAAAGATTGTGAGGATGAGGAAAGACCAGACAAGCCTTCGTTCTGTTGTTCGTGGGGTCACTACAAATCAGGGATGACTGGACAGCACTTCACACTAACAAGAGGAGTCCCTCAGCGGCCCCCAGCATGAAACACTTGAATCCTAAAGGTTGAAGGTTTGAGCTCCTGGATTAGGCGGCTTGGTGGCAAAGTAAGTGTTGAGGTTACTAACTGTAAGGGTGACAGTTTGAATCCACCCAGCCTCTCAGACATGGCTAGAAGAGATGTTGTTGTTGTTGTTGTTATATGCCGTCAACTCGCTTGCGACTCATAGCGACCCTATATACAACAGCCCTAAACTCCGCTCTGTCCTGTGCCAATCGCACTGTCTCTGACACTCCCATCCCGATTATCCCAGTCACTGAATCAATCCACCTCATAGAGAGTGTTCCCCTCCTGCGCTGTCCCTCCACCCTCCCAAGCATGATGTCCTTCTTCAAGGACTGGTCTCTCCTCACAACATGTCCAAAGTATGTTAGATGGAGCCTCAGAATCCTTGCCTCCAAGGAGCAGCCTGGTTTAACCCTTTCCAGGATGAATCTGTTTGTTTTCCTAGCAGTCCATGGTATTCTCAATACTCTTCTCCAGCACCACAGCTCAAAGGCATCAATTCTCCTCCTTGGTCATTGTCCAACTCTCTGATGCATAACAAGTGATTGTGAAGACCATGGCCTGTATCAAATGCACCTTAGTCTCCAGAGAGACACCATCGCTCTTCAGTACTTTGGAGAGGTCCTTAACAGCAGACTTTCCCATGGCAATGCGTCTTTTAATTTCCTGGCTACTGGTGCCAAGAGTGTTGACTGTGGAACCAAGAAGAGATAGAGCTTATCAAAGATTTAATCTTCCTGGATCCACAATCAACAGTAAGGTTTAGTCTTGTAAACCCAATGGAATCAACTGGGTGCTAGTGAGATTCATGTGAGAGACTCATTGGCCTGACGATTGGCTTCCACAAAGGCGTGACTTTGACATCCTCCCAGAATGGTTCTACTCCACACAAATGAGCCAGAAACACCTTGACGGGAACTAACCACGAGTCTTCAAAAGCCAACGTGTGTTCTCCACTCACAGTCCCTTTAGTTTCAGATGCTTCACTGTCACCAGGTACACTTACTTCATCTGCACCGGGAGCCCATGAAACTTCTGATTGGAAAACCAGATTCACAGACCCAGTTCTTCCACGTGCACTTTCCCAACAGAACTGAACGTGCTTCCAAATCAATTTTTTTTTTTTAATTTTGTGTACGTGTACCGTCAAATCAGATCTGACTGGTACAGGAGGATATTGCGCCTCCTTCTCCGGCAGAGCGTCTGGTGGATTCGAACCGTGTTCCTCTGGGATTGCAGTTCAGTTTCTTGCCACTAGGCCACAAGAGCTCCCCCCAAATCAATTTTTTTTAAAATTCCCGTTTCTGAGCCTCACAAGTTCCATCAATTGACATTAAATTAGAAGTTAAACCCCAATCAACCCCACGGTTCTCAAGTGACCCTTCACTGGATTTCCCACACTGTAAATCTTTATTTTTTCCTCCTTTCTTCTTGTTTTTGTACGGTCAAAACAAATCTGACTGGCACAGGAGGAGACTGCCCCTCCTTCTCCAGCAGAGCATCTGGTGGATTTGAACCATGCACCTCTGGGACTGCAGTGCAGCTTCTTGCCACTTACTAGGCTACCAGAGCTCCCTGTATGTATGTACACCATAAATTTTAAGGAATGGAAATGCCTCCTCTTTCTCCACTGTAGCGGCTGGAGGGTTCCAATTGCCAATCTTTTGGTTAGTAGCTTAACATTTAATGGAGATACAATGAAGAATTTTAGTTCCTCCGTTGGGGTGGCTGTATGTCAAGGGCTCAAAATCCCCACGTGGCTACTGGCTGCCAGATTGGATTGTGGAGGTATAGACCTTTCCCTTCAATGCAGAGAGTTCTGGACAGTGCTGGTCTATCTAGCACATAGAGAGCGTTTACACCCATCATCCCATTTTACAGAGCAGTACACTGAGGCCCAGAGAGGGGAGCATCTGCCTGAGGACACAGAGCCAAGACACAGGAGAAGTCAGTCAGAGGCTAGTTCCCGCCTCAGCCTTTCACCCTTTTTGATCTCTCTCTAGAATGGAGGCAACAACCAGAACGCAGCCTCGGCCCCAAGCCCTCCAGGAAAGCCTCTGTACAAAGCCCTTGTTCCTGGACTGTACATACATAAACCAGCCTTTTCTACCAGCTCTGGCCGGGCCTGTCTGTGGAGGTGGGGAAGGGGCCATTTGAGTTGCAGAGCCTTGTACGCAGTCAATGTCATACACCTCATCCCCCATGTGTTTTCTGAAACTTCTGGGGCTCAGGGACAACACCCAGGTAATGCTGGGACCCAGACAAGGGTCAGGCTCCTGCTGGCTCAGGGGGAAGAAGATCTAGCCTGAAGATCCCCTGCAGAGGCCATATACATGAACACGTGCCCTGGGAGCCCAGGGGACGTATGTGACTTGGTCTGGGATGGGCAGAGAGAGGACTCAAGACTTGGTGGTTTGTTTGTGTGTTGTTGTTTTTTAAATTATTTTATTTGTGTGTGTGTGTGTACCGTCAAATTGGATCTGACTGATACAGGAGGAGATTATCCTCCCCCTCCAGCAGAACATATGGTGATTTCGAACCGCACACCTCTGGAATTGCAGTGCAGCTTCTTGCCACTAGGCCACCAGAGCTCCAAGACCTGGTATTTTTGAGGGAAGTGATTACTACATGTAAAGACAATGCCTGAGGAGAAAAATGCACAGGACGCTGTGGCTGGAACAGAGTGATGGGGAAATGAGGAAAGAAGGACAGCGGACAGTGGCAGAATGAACCAGAGCAGGTCCACCCAGCCACAGCCCTGCCCTCCTCTCCATTCAAGACTCCACAGGCCCCGTGGGTCAGAGTAGATTGACTGCCCCTTACAGAAGCCCACTGCCACACCTTTCTTTCTCTGAGGGGTGCAGGGCTTCAAACCAACACCTTTTGGATAGCAGCTTTCAGCAATGTGATCCTCTGGAGAAATCAACGCGGGGGGTTGGGGGAGACATATATCAAGGGGCTGCAGACTTTGGAAATTGTTTAGGGGATGGGGGTTATCAGGTAAAGTTCCTTAGAGCTAAGGATGGTGAAGTTTAAGTCTCATACTTTGGGAATGTTGTTAGGAGTCAGTCCTTGGAAAAGAGGTCGTACTGTAAAGATTGACAGAAAGGCTTTAACAACTGGGTTCGAGCATTATCAGATTGTCAAAACGGCACACAATTGTTTAGTGGGTCGTTGTGAATCAGGGACTCGCTGGCGTGGAACAACAGGGAGACATTGTTCTTAGGACAAAGGATCAGACTCCAGGAACCTGAGGGACACGCCGTGATCGGAGATCGATACACGAGGGACGGGTGCAGCGAAGATACTGGGATTATAGCGGGTTAGAGTTTGGAAGGTGGGGTGGAGGGGACACCCTATCGGTCAAAGGACATCGGTCAAAACAAGCCCAGAAAAATGGGAAGATCTTAGAAGAGCAAGCGGAAGCTCAGTGCAACTCAGGCTCTTGGAATTTATGGTCTCGTACACTGTTGGAATTCGATAGGAGTCAAGATGGGTTCGTGTGGGTCTCCACGAGGGCGATCGGCACCCGGAACCCCAACATCTACGACACTATATTAGAGAAGAAGGACCGGGCTTGATCACCCCTGCAGACCATGCGAGCCCTACCAACTTTAAGCGGCTTGCGAGTATAATGGCTCCTCCCCTTGCAAAGTAGGCAGTTCCCGGGGAGGAGTGAGCTGATTCGCAGCCCCTCAAAAACAAGGCAGGCCCACCAGGGTGGTTTTGCCAACCACACGTGAGCTCTTGCCCGGTACAAGCATGGCCGCCGAGGGCGGGCCGGAACGCCGAGCCAATCCCGCATTCAAGAGGCGGTCGGACCTTTAGTAGGCGGACCCGACGGCTGTGCGCATGTGTGCGTCACGCCAACCAATGAAAAGGCCGGAGTGCCGCCGTGCAGTCAGTGTGACGTCACTTCCGCCGCCCCTGTTTCAGGGCATAAGAAACCCTGCGCCTTTACTTCCTTCTTTCCGAGGCGGCTGCTGAAGATGGTGGAGTCTCAGGTTCGTGCTCCTCGCGCGGCTGGGCAGCGTGGGTTCGGGTGGGTTCCAGGCCGGGCAGGGTTGAGCCATTTGCCCTTTTCTTAGTGGGTTGCATAGTTTAGAGCTGCTTGTGGAGTAGAAACTGGAAAAATTTAAGCGCTAGTCTTGGGTAGTGGCGGGGAGTTAGGGGAAATCGCCACGCGACTTAGGCTGGGGACGGCCTGGTTAGGACGCGATCTTAAGGAGTGGTGGCGGGAGTGTACTGAAGACCTGGGATTGTAAACAGATATCCCACAAGGTCATCGCGGGAAATTGGAGTTCTTGGGACCCCAGGGGTGCGTAAGCTCGCAGAGATGGCGAAGCGACAATGCGAAGCCGGGCTGTCCTCGTGGGCGCGGCCTTGCAGGGCCAGCATGGAGGGAATCTCCCCGCCATGTGCCCTGCCCAGGCGGCTTCACGGGGGGAGCGATCGTGGGCTCTGCTTTTGTCTGTTTTGGAAGGGGCTGCTGAGCTGGGCCTGCAGCAGATCGTGGGCTCGGCTTTCGTCTTGTTTTGGAAGGAGCTGCTGAGCTGGGCCTGCGGCAGTGTCTGGCTTTATTTCTCCTTGTTGCTTATGGAGTTGGTGGACGAGATCTGCATCCGTCTCATCTGCAGGCTTGCTGCATTCTAGTGTAATTTGACTCTTAAAAGACAGAACTGGTTTTTCGGAAGGGCTTGTTAATTATTTTTTAAGTAACTTTTTAAGAAATTTATTATTTCTGTGTATGTATCGTCAAATCTGATCTGACCGGTACAGGAGGAGATTGCCCCTCCTTCCCCGGCAGAGCTTCTGATGGTGGGCTTGTTAATTTTAAGTGCTGTTTGTTGGGAAGTTATTTTCGAAGCTTGATGGGTCTCCTTTTGAGTCTTAAGCAGGAGTTAAAGAGAAATCCATTAAGTGTCTGCATTTTAGGCACTGGATACCTCATTAGATGGTCCTTTTTTCTACATAATTTAGTAAATAGGAAGGAAATAGATGCATGGAGAGTTGGGATATTGGACAGCCATCAGGAAGAGTGGCTTGGCTTTACCTATTGCATTTGTAATTTCTTTATTTGAAATTCCAATTATTGTCTGGTTGTTTCTAGCTAATAACTTTACTGTAAGACATTGGAACTGCTCAAAACGTTTTCAAGAAAGGCTGCATGGTCTTTTTTTACAGTGGTAGATGTCTAGGTCTCCCACAGATGAACTGGGAGGTTTGGACCCCAGACCTTTTCAGTTACCAGCTGGTCATTGCATGGCTAAATGGTGTGTGTTTTAAAATGTTTTCTGTTAGATGATTTGTGGTAGTTGGATATAGTGAGCCTGTTCTCACAGCCTACAGGGGTATGGAGTCCTTGGCTTTCATGGTAATACACTGTATGGCAGAAAAAGCCCTTCTCTGAAATCAGAACGACTAGGTGTGGTCAGGTTCTTCGAGAACCTGCATTGTAGGTTTCTGCCACTCACAAAATTAGAAGAATGTCAAATTGCAACTGGGGCCACCAGCATGTAGCTTCATTAAGTACCCACTCCTCTAAAATGAGGCTGCTTGTGGCTGTTAATGTAAAAGCAGGGTGGCATCCATTTCTGAACAACATGCCTCTGGAAACGATGAAATTTGTTAAATGATGATAGTTAAAGGCTTCAGGCCTTTTGTTCATAGGGTCTCTTTGAGGTGTGCTGCTTGGCAATAAATGTCGTGTATTAACTGAACAGTAAGACAGGGCAAAAAGGGGAGCCGAGCACCCTGGCTGTGCTCAAACTTCTAACCCCATCTATCTTCTCTCTGCAGGTCCTGGTGCTGGATGGCCGAGGCCACCTCCTGGGCCGCCTGGCGGCCATTGTGGCCAAGCAGGTGCTGCTGGGTAAGTGCCTCTGCCCGAGCCCCGTGCAGTTCACCCCCACCCCCCGCTGCAGGTCAGTGATGAGCAACAATCACCATCTTTCGTTTGAGTCTCACGGCCATGAGATCAACCCCATGCACCGCTCTGAGACCTGCCAGCTCTCCCTGCCCAGGGTGTGGGCTCCTGGCTCTGAAATGAAATGATATTCTCGTGAGCTAAGTTTGCTTAGTACACAGTAAATGTGATTTTTGCAGTGTGGCAAGAACCTCTTGGTAGGAATTTGCCACTTGCTTGACCCTTGGGAGGGCTGCTTGTCAGGAAGTCCCAAAGCAGTGGAGAGCTGGTGTGCGATCTAACCTTTACCTCTTCCGGATTGCTTCTCCCCAGGCCGAAAGGTGGTGGTCGTGCGCTGTGAGGGTATCAACATCTCTGGCAACTTCTACAGGAATAAATGTAAGTTGGAGCCTGGCGTTAGTCTGTGGGCAGTGTGGGAGTAAGTCATGGGCAGCTGTGTTCTGGAAATGTGGAAAGCCTGGGGACTTGAGCTTGGAGGAGGAACTTTGTCCAGGGATTAGTTCATCCTGCTCTTAACGCCCACCTTCGTGCTCTCCGCAGTGAAGTACCTGGCCTTCCTCCGTAAGCGCATGAACACTAACCCATCCCGTGGGCCCTACCACTTCCGGGCCCCCAGCCGCATCTTCTGGCGGACAGTGCGAGGTGAGCAGGGGCCCCAGGCTGATGTCCCCAGGGTCGGCAGGGTGGCCGGTGATGAGAACTTCTCCCACCTGTGTTCGAGTCTCCCGACCATGAGATGACTCTTCTCATGCACTACCATCTGAGGTCACCCATGTGGCTGCTCTGGGGACCAGGGGGGACAGGAAGGGGCATCTTTCTAAGCACTACTCCACCCACAGGCATGCTGCCACACAAGACCAAGCGTGGCCAGGCTGCCCTGGACCGCCTCAAAGTGTTCGACGGGATCCCGCCGCCCTATGACAAGGTGAGCATGGGGGCACCATCGTGCACAGCGTCCAGCCAGGCGTCTGTGATGTTCCCTGACAACATACCTACATTGTTTGATCCTCATGAGAACAACATTGACTGAGACGCCACACTGGCCCTTTGGGCTTATATAGCCACCCCCCAGGAGACTAAACCCTCTCCTCCTCTCACAGAGAAAGCGGATGGTGGTCCCTGCTGCCCTCAAGGTCGTGCGGCTCAAGCCCACTCGTAAGGTGAGTCCCAGCACAGAAACCTGGGAGTTAGATGGGTGTCCCTGAGACTCTGGCAGATGATGGCTTTTCTCACGATGGTCTGCGGAGGCCCCACGGGCACTGCCGAAAACGCCCACATGGCAGAACTGATGCCAGGAGGGTTCAAGGGTGACTTCTAAGAAAAGGTCATGGGATCCTCCAGTGTGGTTGCTGAAGCTCTGGGATGTGAAAGAAACCTGGCAGGGTACCCATCTCTCCTCACACGTGACACCCTGTCCCCTCAGTTTGCCTACCTGGGCCGCCTAGCTCACGAGGTGGGCTGGAAGTACCAGGCAGTGACGGCCACCCTGGAGGAGAAGAGGAAAGAGAAGGCCAAGATGCATTACCGGAAGAAGAAGCAGATCATGGTGAGGGGCTGGGGACTGGGGTTTGCGCTGCTGTTAGGACTGGCACGTGATGTCTCTTCTCACGATGGTCTTCGTATGCCCCTGGGGGCTCTGCCGACTCTGCCTAAGGCTTTGCTGATGCCAGCCATGGGTGCAGTCTTACTCTGGGGTGGGCACAGCACTGTCACTGACCATGGTTTCCTTCCTTCTGCACAGAGACTACGAAAACAGGCAGAGAAAATCCTGGAGAAGAGGATCAGCAAGTACACAGAGGTCCTCAAGAGCAATGGTCTCCTGGTCTGAGCCCAATAAAGACTCTTAATTCCTCACTGGCCTGGCCTGCCCTTCCTCCATTGCCACAAGGGACATGGGACCCTCGCCTGAAAGCAGCCTGGGGGGTGCAGAGGGCAGAGGTCATGCTTTTTAGAACAGGCACTTGGGCGAAAGGGAGCTGGGAGAGGAATGGGTAACTAGCCACAGTGGACGTGGGGCATTTGTTAAAAACAGCGTGGTTTTCTATACTCTGCAGCTGTTAGAATGTTCCAGTAACCTTGGTGTGCGCCCTGGGATTCTAGGGGTATTGTAAAGAGGGTATTTATTTATATAAAGATATTTATTTTCACTGAGGGGGCCACAGGAATTGCCCCTGTTGCTCCCCTCTATCCTGTAATACAAAATGAATAAATTGTTGTTAATAAAATTGGTGTCCTTGCACTGTATCTGCTCCAGAGACAAATCTAGGGAATGATTTTGCAACAGTTGGACCTGGTGGAGGGAAATAGCTGTTGATTTCTATGGAACTTTTCTAATTTAGCTGCAAAGTATGGAATTACCATCATTTTTTAACCAAATCCCCATTGAGGGTTAGTGATAATGACACTTCTTGGGCAACAGCAGTTACTCCACACACCACAATACAACATGAGAGTGGAAAGATTATTTTTACTAACCACCTAGGCTTACGTGAATTCATTCTAAGTCACTGGGAATTTTATATCACGTTAATGTGCTGGAAAGTGCAGCTAGAATGCTCTGTGGGAGATAAGCAATTTCATAAGATCCCAACAGGAACCCTAGATAGCAAATCAGTATATGCAATGTGATTTTGATTTTTACCTAAGTACATTCCAGCCCTGGAGACTTAAGGTGCGTCTGATAGAGGTCATGGTCTTTGCCATCACTTGTTATCCATATCCATCAGAGATTTGGACAATGACCAAGGAGAATTGATGCCTTTGAGCTGTGGTGCTGGAGGAAGAGGGTTGAAAATACCATGGACTGCTAGGAAAACAGATTTCATCCTAGGGAGGGTTAAACTAGGTGGCTCCTTGGAGGCAAGGATTCTGATTCTCCAT